TTTGGGGGGGGGGTTGGGGTGGGGGCGGTGGGGATAGGCTATGTCATATTCACTGGATGAACTTGGGGTAGATAAAAGCAGAGGTGATAAATGCCTGTAGGCGTTTCATCACTTGACACATGAACAACGGACTTGCACATTTTTAAATAATGGGGTTGATATTAAACAGCTTTTTTCCAACGTCGAGGCTAAATGTATTTTGTTTGAATGCAGCGCTCCAATGTGCTGCTCGCACTGAGCTCACTATCTGCCTGACATCTGTGGTGTTAAACAAAAATATGCTTCTCGCTTTGAGTCCATTCGTTTTGGGTGGAATTAATGGCTGAGAGAAAATCAGGGTTGATGAATGGAAGATTGTGAGCCGATGATGTGTTGTTTCTGCCCCAGGCTGCCTTTTAAATGCACTGGCTTTGGCTGGGAAAACCACAGCTTCCATCTAGGGTTAAATTAGGGGTTCCCAAAGTGGGGTCCGAGGACCAGTAGTGGTACTTGGGAGGACTGAAATGGGTCCAACATGGTGATATTTTGGTTTCGCCATTAATTTATTTGGAGCTGGAGGTTTCACTGTGTATTGTGAGCTAAAAATGAACCATTGAGAGGTGGTTTCACACGAGGTTCCAAACAGAGATTGTTAGCATTTTAAAATGTATTATAACCCCTAAAATCCACAAAGTTGTTTTTATTCACCATTATTTCTCTGCTCTGGGACTAAGATGCTTTTCAGCTTTGTCCAAGGCAAATAGACCCAATTTATTTGATATTTTTTAAGGAGACAGAAACTAACATTGTTTTGACCATTTGGTTATAAATCTTGCTCACTTGTGCTAAAGAGGCTGAACCCTTTAAACTGAAGGTTAACAAAACAACCCGGTCTTTAAACGCATCATAGCTTCTGAGGTTTAAATACGTTTAAACAAAACATAGGCCATAAGATGGAATTTTGTCCCCAAGAGACTCAAACTCGAAACAGAATATCCTGGATCAGTTGATAAAAAAAAGAGAAAAATGCACTCTAATATTTCTATAGGGACTTACGGTGACAGTGAGACTGACAGTGGTGACCCTGATGGTATTTTCCTCTTCCCTATGGTGTGTCATTTCTTTGTAATATTCCCATAGGAAGTTGTGGTGTGATATTTGTATGAGAATCTCTCTAAAATAAATCATTTTATTTTGGAGCTGACAGTCAAAATACAAAGCTGCTATTTCCCTGCCACTTCCTGCTTAACTACAAAAAAAATGAAAATGTGTTGCCCTCTGTGGGTGTCATAATAATATTAATTACAATCGGATTCTTCCCCATTCCACCCGACAAGCTGCCAGTCCCTGTTCTGATGTCTGCAGCAGTGCAGAGTGTGGAAGGATGAGCCTGTATTCATGAACTGAAAGTCACATTTTAACGCTTAGCATTACTAGGCAAACGAGGGGGATCGATTGGGAATCGATGGCTGATCGGATGCTGATGGCGTTGACTAATTCACCAGATGATAAACAAATTAAAGTAGGGCCTTTTTTTTTTTTTTTTAGATCATTTTATTTCTACAGAATTAAGAGAACAAACAGAGCAGCTTTGGTGTTGCAGTGAATCAGCTCCCTAGTGACTTTAAGTGTGACTATCCAAACATGTCTGCGGTTACAGATGTTATTTATTTATTTATTTATTTATTTCTAGACAGATAAATGACATAAAAGTGATGTCGTCCTCTTGTGAAAAATGTACCGTAATATTCCCATAATACCCAGAACTGGAATCTGTAGCCATCATATTCCAAAGTGCGGTTTAAGTGACCTTATTGGACTTGACTGTATTTTGAATCAACTGCAGTATGGCTCATTTACTGCTATATGGGATAAAAAGCACAGTCGATATTATCCCTCTGAAATTCAGTAGGCTAGGTGTTGACTGTGTATGAGGATCGTTTTCACACGCTGTTTTGTTGTCAGTGCGGGGAAATAAAAGAGGTCCCTCTCTGCATCATCACCACTCGCCGTTTGACCTGCCATTTGGATGCCTGGCACGAAATGACACCCCGGAAATAAAGCCCTCTCTCTCTCTCTCTCTCTCTCTCTCTCTCTCTGGGCTCTGAAGTAGACTTTTGTGGAGCCCAGTAATCATAAAAGTGCGCCCCCGTGCCCTTCATCCGCTCTCTAGCAGATGCAATTAATAGCGCGTCGCGTTAATTACACCTTCCTTTTTATTTAGGTGACTTGAAATTTCCCATTAGGCTCCCAGGGAAGAAAAATACACACACACACACACACTCACAAACTGTTGTGGCGCTGAGCTGTGGAGACACAGAGGGAAGATAGTCGGTGCTCTAGCGCCATCTAGCGACACCAGCAATGACCCGAGGGTGAGTCCGAGCTGTTATGTCATTTTCATCTTCTGTGAGGGTCGGAAATAAATAAAGTAGTAATTGCTTAATAATCAGGTGGAGATGTGGAAATATTTAGTGATAATATAATAAATGTGAGAAAGCCAGCCGGGGCCTTCACAAGGAAATGAATCTGTATCAAAGTAATAGAATGGGAAATTACCATCAAATAAACATACAATAAGGTCGGTAGACAGCAGGTCTTTGTGGAGCTCAGTCACACCAGCTCATACTTATTACAGCAGACACACATCACTGTCAGTCCTTCTATGTGGAAGTACAGGAAAAATAATTCATATTTTCATATTTATTATGGTAATCAATTAATCTGTTTATAGACAGACAGAAAGGTGTCAAAAATGTTAATAACTGATTAATTGTTTATAGCGCTTAAATGGTCCCACCCAATGGTGAAAAAACAAAAGAGATTTATATATGTATTTCTTAGTTCCTTCATTTACATTAAACATCCTCTTTGAACAATCTGGAGACATGTTTCTCAATTTAAGTGAAATATAAGACAGTTTGTAGTAAGACATATTTCTTGTTGTGGACGAGAGCAAAGTGTGAAACTCAAGAAATGAAATATTTTACAAATAAAATATGTGAAACGTTCCATGAAACGTTTAATTAAAGATAAGTAAATAAACGGTCATATAAATAAAATATGAAATGGTCAATATGCAGTTTGGTGTTTGTAGAACTACATCAGACCTGCTCCTCTGTCAGCTTTTTTGTGATGGATTCTCCTCTTATACTTTGGGTATGAGTAGCCTAGCTCCGCTGTGACTGTAATTGTGCTTAAACTTGACTTTTGGAAATGTCAGAAAAACACACTGATATAATAAATAAATGCACAATGGAGTAACTTTATTAGATTTATTTAGATTTATCTCAACAGTTCATGCTTAGAAAACTGTGTATTCCATGGCAATATTCAGTTTTTGTACAGCATGTTTTTATAAAATAACTATAAAGTTATCAATCTTTCTGGGGGTATTCATTCATATCATTCTGTTCAGTAAATCCTAAAATTAAACTAAATTTAAGAAAAATATTTGCCAATGAAAACTCCCCAATTAACAGGACACGTGCCAAGAGAGATTTATCTGCCACTATTTTCCTGGAAGGAAGCCACCTGAAAACTCCTGAAAATTGCATCCTGGGGAGGTTTTTTACTGAGTGCTAGAGATGGCTCAATCAGGTTACGATCAGTAGAACAAATGTTTCAACAAGGCATCGCAAGTCAAAATGTAAAGACCATCAATGGGTTGAGTGAACTAGGTAATTTTGGCCCTAAGATGCTCCCATAAAAACAGGACTAATATTTTTATTGGCTTTAGTCACCTATCAAGCAAAAATGCTGACTCAGTTTGACATTATTTTAAATTGAATAACTATCCTGGTATTATGAATGCTGGCTCACTATCTCACAGTTGTGGCGTTGTAATCAGTTACAAAAATAATTGTAAGTTGCAGCCCGAGTCTCGGCACTAACAATGTAACTGTAGTTAGAGTCCTGGCAAGATAATCAACCCACGCACTGGTTTTACAGACCTTTTAACTCCACATCTCTGTCTTAAAGGTTCGTACTTGCTGTTGCAAAGTGCTCCTGTGAAAATCAAATGCTGAATGTGAAAGGACACCTCAGCCTGTAAAGCCTGTTCAGGCAAGCTGGCATCATCATGCAGGCTATCAGCTCAAACTGTTTCAAGTGTCTTCTACACACATTTTTATCAGGTGATCAGGGCACTCTTTGCCTCTCTGCTCCCTATCGCCTGCATTAAAATGTCAACCTGTTTTATTTGAATGCTGTAGATCGACAGAGACAGAGGTGGCCTGTGCCTCCAGCAATAGGTAATGAAGTGGGACATACAGTATACTAAATGAGCAGTGCTGAGTCGGCACACTGAAAACAATCTTTATTTGTATTTAGCAGATTCACTAACTTGTTGGAAAAGTGACAAATGAGAAGAGGCAGATATTTCTCTGTCTGTCTGAGGGAACAACATTAATACACAATCTCACTCAGATCACATGAAGTCATTTAACATTGTGTGTAACAACATAATGTTTTAATATGATTTCCTGGGGTCTAATTAATTTTGAAAATGAATGTTTTTGTGACCAACTTTATTTACCCCCCCTGCCCCCGCCCCCAGAGATCTCAATCAATGTCTTTGTATAAAGTTTCCCTGTCAAACATCATGTCCATCCCTGACTCGTGTGAAGATGAATCAGCCATCTGTATCAATCACTCATTCAATCTGTCTTCCTCTCTTTGCCCCCCCCCTTCCGCCCCCT